CCCCATCATCCTGGTCAGCAACCCCTTCAGGAGGGGAGTGATGGGAATTGTGGTACTACATGTTGATGGGACGCTGTGTTATGGGAGGCTTGGTATAAATTTCCAAAGGTCACCTCAATGCAAACAGAGCTGAATTAACCACGAAGCAAAATACTGTAAGTATGTGCTTAGGGCATCATCAAGGGAAGGGGGTACCACAGAGTTTTGTTCAGTGCTGGATTTACCGTAAATGACGGTGCACATCAGGGAGGAGGGCCTGCCGTGCTCTGGTCCATGGGGTCATGAAGAGTCAGACATGACTAAACGACTAAACAACAACAATGGTGCAAATGGTACACCCTCCTTAACAAACCACATCCATCCGGATCCATCAGCTGTCTCCCTCCCTCCCTCATGAGCTCCAAGAAAACCAGCTCCCTACCTAAATAGGTTGAGTAAAAAGGTAAAGGTAAAGGTTCCCCCTGACAATTTTTGTCCAGTTGTGTTTGCCTCTAGGGGGCGGTGATCATCCCCGTTTCCAAGCCATAGAGCCAGCATTTTGTCCGAAGACAATCTTCCGTGGTCACATGGCCAGTGCGACTTAGACATGGAACGCTGTTACCTTCCCACCGAGGTGGTCCCTATTTATCTACTTGCATTTGCATGCTTTCGAACCGCTAGGTTGGCGGGAGCTGGGACAAGCAACGGGAGCTCACTCCGTCACGTGGATTTGATCTTATGACTGCTTGGTCTTCTGACCCTGCAGCACAGGCTTCTGCGGTTTAGCCCGCAGCGCTACCACGTCCCTTAGGTTGAGTATCCCTTATCAAAAATGCATGCATATAATTATTTGTAAACTTTCTATAAATTACCTGGCTTGTATTACTTTAGTATTTGTTTCCATTTACTACATGGTTATTTTCCAATAAAAAAGTGTTTGTATCATTGAAAGTTTTGTTATGTTTTAAAGACAAAAGGTGATGATTAATTCAGACAACTCTATGAGTTGTTTTTTCTAAACTAAAACATCAGTATTCAGATTTAATTGCAGTGTTGACCCTTCGAAAGAAATAATTTGGTTCTGTGTTGCCGTTTGGGCACTCGGGCTCAAAAAGGTTAGCCATCACTGCTCTAATGCTTTAGTATTTTAAATCAGGACAAACACTGTTAAACACAGCAATGGCTGGATAACATAACATATAGTACTTCCTTTTTAGATTAATAATAATGAAAATATGTTAAAATTACAAAATGTATACACAAAGAAGTTCAAATAAAATCACTCATGTTAGAATGCTTTTCGTTCCAATAATAGAATGAGAATTCTACATTTGTTTAAGATTTGTTAACTTACGCTGGGGCATAATTGCATACTAGAAGTTCCATATTCTTCGATTTGCCCACTAAACGGCAATAAACAACTGCACAGCCAACCTTGTAAGAATTAGCCCAAACAACCTGGAAAAGAACAGCTTTTATTATATAGCATAATATACAAGCTGTGCTTATTTATTTATATCATTTATATAACTGCCTAGCTCACAACTATAAAATGAACAACAGTTTAAAAATACTATATAAATTAAATGTATATTAAAATTAAATACCAAGATTAAAAACAATTTTAAAATATTTTAAAATATGTAAGTTCATGAACAAGCATTCCTGATACACTTACTGTTTAAAAGCCTGCCTGAAGAGGAAGATATTTGCCTGATGACCAAGAGAGAGGGGCCAACCTGGCTTTTTGGGGCAGGGAGCCACCACTGCATAGGAGCCACCACTGAGAAGGTCCTCTCTTATGTCCATACCAAACAGGCTTGGGAAGGTGGAGGAACCAAGAGAAGGGCCTCCCCAGATCTTAAAAGTTGAGAAGGCTCATATGGGGTGATACAATCCTTTAATTACCCTGGACCCAAGCCGCAATGGGTTTATGCTAAACAAGATATTTTCTGAATTTCAGTTTCTCTCGAAGTCCTTCCCACTTTCATACACTGCTTAAAATCCTGTTGCACAGTGTCATGTGGACAATGGAGATGACATCATAATCGGTGGCAAATTGCCATTCATTAAAGGAAAACTGCTGCTGATTAAAAGGTAATTAGAGTGCATGCGACTTGTACACAATGCAGTGAAGTCATCGGCACTCGAAATTGCCAAAAAAAGCCTTTACTCAGCAGCAATTTGCCACTGCTGCCAACATCATTGCTGTTATATACTCAGAGCTGCACAACAGGATTTCAGGTCAGGGATGAAGAATCTGCAGCCCCACCGTTAACCCTTTTAATACTTAATCTTAAATGACATGAGACTGATTTCAAGCTATAGTAAACATTTACCCATGGTAAGGAAATATGACTTTGTAAGAACAAAATGATGATTTAGTTGAAGGTCTTCTTGTACATGATACGATTCAAACTACACAAAAGATGACTACAATCAAACCAACTGTGTTATGGAAACAGACAATTGTCAGCATCAAGGGATGTGAAAACCACGAGATACACATAATAGCTTTAGAATGCTAGATCTTAGAATACAGTAGTTAAGCCTCTTCTATAAAATACCCTTAGATTGCCAAGTATAACGATTTTTAGTTTGGGAATTAAATGGTTGCCCTATGAAATGACCTCTGTTTAGTGGTTCCCCAGGTGTTCATGGACTAAAAGTCCCAGAAATCCTGGTCAGCACAGAAATATTGTAAACAAATATGTAGGAAGGGGAGGGTTGCCACAATTTTGTATAGCATTCTGACATTTCTCAGGTATATCATAGTGCCAGTTACACTAAGTGCTATGTCAAGTTCTTGTTCAGTTATCCTTTCACCTTTGTCTCCTGAGTGTGGTGGCTAGTGGGCATTGGTGCTTTGCTGCTCTTTGCATGGGCAAGCTGAACTTCTCCACAGGACAGGAGTTCAATAGGCCAGACAGGAAGCATCCCAAGGCAATTTGACTTTCATTCTCATGATAAGAATCTTAATAGTGTGCTTATGCCTTAAAAGCATAATGCTAGACTTCTGCTATAGCTCAGTTTTTACAGATGTTACAAGGGCTGTGTAACATCTTTGGAGCTGATTTTTTTAAAAAAATTTCAACTGCCTCTGAACTAATTTCAGCCACTCTATTTTCTGAATAAGCAGCATTTACTATTTGTGAAGGAAAATATTTTCATGAAGTATCACTATCTGGACACCATAACCACTGCTTTATAACTGCACAGTTCTAGCTATTAGGCTTCAGAACTTGTAGGTTACCTGAGCTGAGAAGAGTAAAACTTACCTGAGTATAATGGCCGCATACGTCTGTACACTTGTGAGAACTGAAATCGTAGAATTTTACCTCCGAGTGAAATGACCCAATGGCACCAACAGGATTAAATGGTCTTCTGCCGGCACTTCCCATCCACAAATTTTCTCCAAATGGTCTAAATTTATGGTCAGGGTGAATTTTAGTATTCTTGTTATGCTTCCAAATGCATTTCTTTCCATATGCTTTGGCTATTCTAGCTAATGCTATATCAAATGTCTGCAAAGCAAAAGAGAATGTCATTATTCACAGCTAATAAATACATTGACGTTACATTCAGTTCTGCTCAAATATAGAATACACCAGCTTATTTGGATGCATTTTTATCAAGCTCTCCAAGTTGTCTCTGATTTGAGAAAACAAACTGATGGGAAGCATATCTGCCCTATGTAAGGGAACCAAAGGGTACAGAGAGGTTGCACTTCTTGCTTCCCCCTTCATATTATAGCAAGATAAGCACTAGAAAGAATATGTGGTTCCAACCATCTTTTATCCAGCCTTTCACTGGCCAGAGGGATAAAAGCTACCCTCTAACCAAGAGTGCCACCAAGAAAAAAGTTTGGCCTGGTCCCCAAGTGAATATAAATGACTGCAGACATCTCATCCCTTAGTTCTGACATTGTCAAACAGACTTTCCCTCTGCACTTTTTCTTTACACTGCCTTTCTGCTTCTATGCTTAGATTTAGGAGGGTTTTTTTTAAAAAAAAATGATGTGGGGCTCTCAGCTGCTTTGGAAGGTAATTTTTGATTAAGTGGCATAAAAAAATAAAGTTCAATCACACTGATTTAGATTATGGCCAAGTACATACTCTACAATGTAATGCTGGAAAATATAAAAGGCAATAAAAATGCAGAATGCTTTTATCATGGCAGAGTAATATCAGACTGCTGTCACAAAGTTATGGGTCTGAGCCCCTACACCTCTGTACAACACACTGGCAGCAGCAACTACAGTATAAACATTTTAAGAATCTGGTATCTGCCCTTATGCCTATTCCTCGGGGGTATGAATTCAAATTAAAAAGAAAATTATTTAGGAACAGATTATTCTCTTTGCCTTCAGGGCAGGCCAAATACATTTTGCTTTCTGAGGTGGAAACTAGCAAACTCTCCTTGCCACATCAAGGTATGTATTTTAGCCTGTTTGACTTTGGGATCCTGAAGCAAACACCCCCGCCCCCCATTGTTCTCTCTCTTAAAGACACTGCAGGAATATCAAACAAAGGAACAATTTGAGCCCAGTTCCTCATAATCAGCTGCTAGTGACCATCACCGTAGTGTATAGTAGGCAGAGATCTGTTTGTGTTTTCGGCAAAGAAACCAGAATAAGTTGTCAAGGGACTTAGCCGTGATACTCTTTTGCAGCAAAACCCACAGGTTCTTGTGGCACCTTGCTAAAGCCTATGTGGTTTACTGGTTCGTGGACCGTAGCCTATTTCTTCAAGAGCTCACGAGTGTCGCCTCAGTGGACAGACTTAATCTGTTAAATTTTCAAGGTGCCACAACTCTTCCTTATTTCGGAGCAAACGGGAAACTTTCCCTCTTAAGGCCACAATCGGTGACGCGACTTTTCCCGCTGTTTTCCCGCCCCCTTCCCTCTCTGCCGTGTTTGCCGCCTTCAGCCCCATTCGAGGGGACGCACCATGTAGCGCATGTTGGCAGCCGAGGGTTTGACTTCGCTGCGGTATTTGTTGTGAGCGTCGACGTACAACTTGATGAAGGTCTTGTTCGTGATATCGGGGTAAGGTCCAAAGTTGTGGCAGTGTGCCTTCCCGAGTAGGACGACCAGCCCCAGCGCGACCCACGGACAGCAGCAACGCCCCATGTTTGCAGCCGTCCTGACAGAAAGGCACGAGGCTGCGCGCGCAAGGAAGGCTCCCCTCCGACCGGGGCGACGCGGATTCTTCCGCATCCTCGAAAGTCGGAACACGGTAGTTAGTATCTGCGATAGCCATTAAACGCCCCCAAGAGTCCTTTGGCGACGGATCGTGGTGAATTTTCCTACTTAGGTTCCGAGTGCCACCAGTTCAGATCCCACGCCAGAATATTTCGTCTCCTGGAGTTTTAGGCTGTAATCAACCGCGCAGTTGTTACACCCATCTATGTACATGAGAGTAAGATCCAATGGTCTCCAACGGATCTGACCTCTTATCTGAACTCTACTGTTTATCTGTTTATAATCCAATGCATACTTCGGGCTTGATTTTGTCTAGGACCCATACTCGTTCTTTCTGGCAGTCCAGGATATGCGCAGAGCTCTTATCCAGCAACACATTTCAAACAAATCTTTTTTCCCCGCCTGACAGCTTTCTTTACTGCCCAGCTTTCACACCCATATATGGAATAGAAATACGATAGTGTGGATGATCTTGGTCTTGGTCTCCAGTGACGCATCCTTGTGTTTGATTATATCTCTTAATTTCTTGCTGCCTTTCCAAGTCCCAGTCTTCTGATTTCTTGGCTACAGTCTTCATGGAATTGAACGGAGGTAGGCAGAAACGCTATTTCAGTTTCTTCATTGTCAACGTTAAAGTTGTGTACAGTATTTCAATTCCAATGGAGACTGCAACCAAGAAATCAGAAGGGAAACAATGAAGGAATAAATGGCCCGCTTATTTGTCTTTCAGGCGCCTCCTAGTAACTGCAAAGCCATCCAATAGCATTTTGAATACATCACTTCTTCAAAATTGTCAGGTATCTTCTGTGACTATCTTTGGCATATATATGGATTACAGCCTCAGACTGTAAGATACACACACTTATCAGGGATGAAACTTCATTGAATCCAAAGCAGGACCAAAATTTTCTGCCTTTTTTGGCTCTCAGAATTACCTCAGACAGAGCCTAAAATGATCACCCCATTTTCGTCATTACTGTCTGTCTGATGTCCGCAGATCCATATTTAATCATTTCACCTGACGACACGAAATGATTTAAGAGTTGGTAGTTTTTATACGTATCAATTTATTTGCTTTAATAAAGATATTATTTTCACGACGACGGGCCCATGCCTTCCGTTTCTGTTCCGCTTTCGGCTAAACTTGCGCCCAGGCGCTCGGCTTCGTCCCTCGCTTCCCCACCCGCACCCGCTCTTCCTATCACGGCCCGGCGTCCCAACCGGATTCCCGGCGCTGCCGACCGCCTCTAAAGCGCCACCAAGCGGCTCTAAAGCGCTCCAAAGCGGAACTGGAGGCTCTGCAGGAGGGGCCGTCGCTTCTCAAGGCTCCGGTTGGCTCCGGGGATCCTCGACTTCCTCTTCGCCTTGGCGACTTCCTTTAGGTGCCCGCAAGCGGGCGGAAGTGGAAGGGAACAGGCTTGAGACAGCCTCGGGTAGAGCCAATCGGTTTTTCTTTGCTTGCGGTCGCCGTCATAATCGGAGTTGGGGTTTTTTTTGCATCAAACATATCTAGTCATAATCGTTTCTAGGTTGCCGCCATGGTGTTGTCCTCCATGCAGCAGGTCGTGATCTCTGTCGCGCTGGTGTTGTGCCTTTTTGTGGTGATGCCAAGGATGTTCGGTGGAGGCGGGAGGGCCTCGCGAGGGGGAGCCAAGACCCCTCCCGGTCGTCACGATCCTCATCAGCACCGCCACGGTACCGTGCCTTCTTCCCACATCCTCTGCCTTCCCCGAACCCATTCCTCTATCCTTGGCTTCCTTCCTCATTTGATAGATATATCTTCCCTTAGGAGATGCAAGTGCATCCCTTTTGAGTTTTTATTCGTTTGTTCCCTGAAACAGGAAAAAAAAGAGAAAGGAGCCTATTTTTTTTTATAGGCATAAATGCAAAACCTGTAAATTACACACTCATAAAACGGCCCTCAGATGTCTTGTTAGTGCACCCAGTTGACATGGCAGGTTAAAACTATATGGAACAAAGGAGAAGACCGAAATGTTAATGGAGGCAGCAGTGCGGATTGGTATGGTCTGGAATTACTTTGTCTATCTGAGAGTCTTTCTTTGTAGGATATAGAGCAGAGATGCATACATTGACACTTCACCTTGAGACTTTAGCTAGAATTCCTACCAATTAGTTTATCCACACTCCAGAATGATTGCTTACAAGCTTGTTAGGGAATAGCAGATGACAGCCTTGCGTGGTTGAATATGTTTTTCAGTCTAACCCTGAAGTCCTCTGGTTGGAGCCAGATGCAAAATGATGGCTTAAACTAAGAGCTGTCTTTCCCTTGATTCCCAAGATCCAAACATTTGGAATGTCCTGAATACACACCAGCATCTTAATTATTACAGACTAATAATTCTAATAGTGTGATTTCAGACCTCAACATTGTTGTGATGTGGGAATTACCCTTACTGATATGCTGCAAATAGATCTAATCAAATCTAACCTACCCAGTCTGGGAAAAGCATGTCTTGACTGATTAAAAGAGCATCATACTCTTGTTTTTGAATTCCTTAGCTGTGTGACAAATGCTAAACCGGCACAGGAGTACTTGTTCATTTGTTTGTATTGAGAAAGTAAAGGCAGTATTTATAGATGTTATACTTCATCCCAAATTGTCCTGATTAAAGTGCCTGTTTTTATTAATTCAACCTGACTGGCTAAATATTTTCAATATTTATGTTGTAGGTAGACCTGACAGACTTCTGCAATCACAGATGAATTCAGGAAATTCTGAAAAGAAAACCTATGAGAACATCCAACAAATGAGGAATGCAATGGAGAAGGAGTTGAAAACTGAGCGAACCAGAGGAAATGGCAGAGATTTTGCTCTAACACTCATGCCCTTATATGCCATTGGAGTGGGTGTGTTTGCTTTATACAAGTTTTTAAAGGTAAACTTCAAGAATCCAGAGAGTTGTCCATCCATATACTTCTGCAATGAGAGCCAGTGTAATTGTGGTTTTAAATATGCAGTGTCACATAAAATTTCTAATTTTCTTTCATATTGTTATTTTTAAAATATTCCTTACAAATTGGAGAACAAGTATCCTTTTTCTTTTATAAAATGTAAAGTTTTTTTTAAAATTTTTACAAAGATCTGTACTTACCTTGTTTCAAAACTGAATTGGGGGAGACATTTGCTGATTTCTCCGGAAGAACAAGTCCCAATAAGCCTCAGAAATGAGATGCTTTCCTCTTCTTCTTTGTTGGCACAGCCATGAGAAGGTGATTAGAGTTTCATTTTACATGAATTACAATTTGATTTGTCTGAACTGCAGTTAATAGTAGCTATGCTCAGTTAAAATAAATCAGTTTTGTATACCACAATTTGTCTTACAACATAGTTTTGTATCTGGGCAAGTCTAATGTTTAAACACAAGAATATTTCTAGTGTTTGAACAGGAAGAATACTGCTAGTTGTGTAGCAGTAGCCAAATATGATGAGTGTTATGCTGCTGCAAGGCAAGGCTAGACCTTGCTGTTGCTGAAAGAGAGAAGCTCCCCTCAGCTATTTGCTTTATTATGAACTTAGCTGTTAGTGCTAAGGAAGCTGAGGATGAGCACTGTGACTCTTCTCCTGAACTACCACGTGATGCGGCTCTTTATAAAGGCAACTTAACTGTGTTTGGCTGCATCTGGGAACTCTGCCTTATCAGTCTGTGAAACACAGTAAGGGTGTTTAGCAAAATGTCTTTCCCTTGCCCTCAGACCAGACCAGGTCCAAGCTTTCTGCAAACATACAGTTGAATCCTCTTGCAGAGGCTTCAGCAGGGCTACTGTGTGGCTTTGTTCTGCTTTCACTAACATTTGTTTTTTTAAAGATCTGTGCATCACCTGTTGCAGCAAAGCAGGGACAGATTCATCCCCCAGGAAGTATTAAAAATCACTAAACACAAATTCCAAATATACACGGAATGAAGATGTGTAATTTTCTGGTATCCTGGAACTGTGGTTTGGCAGTAGATTCTCCACAACAGAACTACAGTCTATAGAAAAGAAGTCTGGACTTTTTATTTCAGCAGATAAAGAAAATTTTCTTTAGTCGAAAAGAATAATATACTAAGTGCATGCTAAGCACCCTTAAAGTCCAATCCAAAAACCTTTTGCTTGGAGGAAATATGCTAAGTGGCTTGGGGTTTACAGTGGTGCCTCGACTTACGAACATCCCTACTTACGAACATTTCAACTTATGAACAGCTCCGGTCGCAACATTTTGCTTCGACTTGCGAACGGAGCTTCCACTTACGAACAGAAAAAAGGCAGGCAATTCAGTTTACTAACTGTAAGTGACGACGAGGCTGCTTTGTACTGTAGCTCTTTTGGCAGTTAGAAAGTGTGCCATCGTTGTCTGTGGCTTGGGAGAGCCTTCTCCTGCTTCGGAGTGAGTGTGTGTGTGTGGAGTGTGCCGTCGTTGTCTGTGGCTTGGGAGAGCCTTCTCCTGCTTCGGAGTGAGTGTGTGTGTGTGTGTGTCTGTGGGGAGGTAAGCTGCTGTTTCCTCCTTTTAAAAAATGTTCTGGGTGTGTTTTGGCTGGGGCAGATATGTTTCTGTGCTGTGTTGTTGGTGGTTTTAGTGTTTGTTTCTGGAGGTTTTTTCCTTCTTAAACCTCAGCAACTGAGGTGGCTTTACTTTTTGTTTATGGAGTTTTTTTCTTTTTAAACCTCAGCAATGGAGTGCCTTCTGGCTAGGCTTGCTGTGTTCTTTTTACTTTTTCGGTGATTTTTTTTCCAGCTGGAACGGATTAATCGGTTTTCAATGCATTCTTATGGGAAATGGTGCTTCAATTTACAAACATTTTGACTTACGAACACCATTCCAATACGGATTAAGTTCATAAGTCAAGGCACCGCTGTATTTTTTTTGTTTTTTAATTTAGGATTATGTTGGTTAACTCAGTAATTCTATGTTAACATGCTTAAAAGTATTGAAACGTTGTATGTCCCAGCTAAGGTTTGTTTCTTTAGTGGCTCTTGTAGTATTACAGAGTATCTTTATATAATTTTTCATTGGCCTTTTAACTTCATTACTGATATTGAATACTTGCTTCAGATAGCAAGGTAGTGGCAATGATTGTGATTGCGTTTTATGAAATCAGTAAGACTCAGAGTGCAGCATGTCTACTCAGAAGTAGATCTCACTGAATTCCATAAGGTTTCTTCCCAGGATAAATCTGTATAAATTCTGGTTTAAATAGTTAGACTTCAGTTATAAATTCAGTTATCATGATACATGTGGCTAGAGAGGTCAGTTTGCAGCCTGGCATATTTGGGTAATGTGGATTGATGCTGCCTTAATGAGATTAAGGATTAAATCAAGATGGTGTGGGGAAAGATGTCTTGCTCCGCTGCAGTCTAATGATTCAGAAACTGAATACACATTCTAAGCAAATATTGGGAAATGTGGAGGAAGATTTTGTTGTTACCTAAAGCTGATACTGTAAATTATGTTTTACTCTCATAGATGAAATCTCAAGAGGAACGTGTATTGACAAAAGAGAAAAACACAGAGGATAAAACAAAAGAAACAGGTAGTAATTACACCTTTGCTTATATATGCAGCTTTTTTCTCTTGTATTCCCTTGCCATGATCTGTAATTAAAGCAGGAAGTCTCTAATTGATCATAGTATTCTAATTTGTTAGAAGTAGGAAGATATAGTTATTAGTTTTGAAACAAGTTGCGTTATTAAATAGGTTTGTTCCAGTGCTGATAATTATGCCTCTAAATCCAGTAGACACAAGTAGATTGAATGCATTGGCCAGAATCTTGTTCATCGAGGCATAACGTAACATTATGCTATTGTAAATGTGCTGGTTTTTCTATAACAAGGGCTTTGAATTTGGTTGCATGGTTCCCAGTTTGACCAGCTAGTATGGTAGCAGAAGTGCTTTGTGGATGTAACTTCAGCCTTGGTGCAATTATACTGTGGACATGGCTACTCAACAGGATTTCAGCCATTAGATCAATAGGTAGACTCAATGAATTCCTTTCATTTGATGAGTTTGCTCTGTTTTGGTCTGACAATTGGACAATTGTTTCACTTTTTTATGAAACTGGAAATTCTGGGCAATGAGATAAGATACATCATAGTTTTAATTGCTATTTATGGAGGAAGTTTGCATGTGAGGGTGACAGAATTGTTCACATCTTGGCTTATTCAGGGAAAAACTCTACCACTCTACAGCTGTGCATGAGAGAGGACCTTTTCAGTGGTTGCCTCTACTGAAGGTTGTCTTTCCATAGTGGGCTAGGTTCATCCCCTTCTTGATATCCTGTTGGCAGGCAAAGGCCATTTTCTTTTCTTTTCTTTTCTTTTGAATAAAGTTTACTCAAAGAGCAGTCATGAAATTGCAAATAATTAATTACCTTAAATGACAGGGCAATCAATAAAAGATCATATATGTATGTGTATAAGGGCATTTTGTGTAACATTGTAAGGCAATGGAATCAACGAGAATCATAAATATTGTTTGTAAAGAGATATGTAATGAGAGAAGTAAAAATGTATTCTTATTGATATAATTAGTGTAAGGGTGCCATATAATAAAAAAGATTCTTGTGTTTCATTATTTCTTAAAGTTTGGATTTGCTGGGTTAATTTCTCTGAATATGGATTTTAACCACTTTTCCAGTACTGTATGATCTCTAATCTCACTGAGATACATTCACATGATGAGACCTTTCTCTTTAGGAAAGCAATTGGCACTGAATAGCCTGCTGGAAAACTAGCATTTAATGGGGGGGAAGGGGTCCAGCACTATTTTCTTTCTTTCCTAATGTCTTTAAGTCAATGTTTTAAATCGTTGGAAATTAATATTTTTTAAAAAATATCTGTTTAATTGCATCTTATTATCACTCATTGGTTGAAATCCTGTTGCTTTAACTTATACAGTGTAAGGCTGATGACAGCACATAGATTACAGGGCAGTGGGGCAGAAAAGTCCAGAAGTCATACACAGATCCTCACACAGCGTAAGTAAAAGCATCAGAATTCCAACCAAAGAGTTTTTAATTATAGCTGTTTTCAAACATTCTGTAGGACACTTGTATTAAGGGAAAGGCAGAATATAAATGAAATAAATACATTAAGTCCCACAGGTTTAAATAAAACAATGAAACATTTTATTCTGTTTTCATATTAGAAAAGAGAGCTTTTAAAATTGTTTTTATTTAATATTATATGTAATGTTTAATCTGAATTAAGTTTATGAAATTTACATGAGACATATTATACTTATGCTTCTAGAGAGCTTTAGTCGCTGCCTATTTAGAGAGTTTCTGTCAGAAAAAATATATAACAATCAGTGTCTTTTGAAATGTACAGGCAGATTGTAACATAATCTATTAGTATTGCTTTTTAAAAAAAGTATTCTGGCTTGCAGAGCGCCAGCTTCTGGAGTTGGAGCAACATCTTGCACAGACAGAGAAAATGTTGAATTCTCTATTGACTCAATTAGATCCACTTTCAAGCTGGTGAGTAAACTAGACTAAACTATAGGATTTAGCTAAAATTTTATCTGAAATGCCTTAAGATTTATACTTGCAAACAGAAACGCTACAGGAATATTAATTAGTATATGGAGTGTGCCTTTGTCTATAGAAATGGAGAAGGACAATGGATACTACATCCCCTAAGATGAACCTGATATCATCTCCTCACCTTACGCTACAATCTCCATCTTGGAGTATCAGATTAACTGCAGATCCTGTGGCTTCAGTATCTGACCAGGATGGCTTCTGGACTTTTCTGCCTCACCTGCCCCACAAACTCTGCCCAGCTTGATGATGAGTCCTGCAGGGCTTGAAAGCTTGCCTGTTTATGATCTTTTAATAATCCAATAAAGATCTTACTCAGCCAGTGGGATCTCATGACTTGGTTAGAATGGAAGTGCTCATTGAAATTTTGGGTGGATAGCTCAACCTCTTGTTGAGGTACCAGACATCTATGCATTTATAATGCAGTTTGAAATTGATTTTTAAAGCAAATTACAACTGCTTCTGTTCTGTGTGGGTTCAAACATAATGCCAAACTGTAGATACTTTTTGAAAATGAAGCAAAACTTTTTGATCTCCTGTTTATGTTTGTGCTTCTGGTGAGAACTGAGCCTGAGACTCATTCATGAAATACAGCAATTCCTTTTGTATGCATTTAGATGTAACACTAATGGGGGAGGGATGGCATCCTAACTCAGTTATAAAGGTAGCATAATGTGTTTTAATAGTTCCCTTTGCTTTCTTGGGGTTTGGAAATGTTATTCTGGTGGAATTTCAAGACCTGTTCTTTGCTTACCATCTCTTATCTTCTTAAGTCATTTTTTGGCCTTTCAGTATTAATACCTTGGCTTCTGAACAGAGAGATGAAATAATGATACAGCTGGAGTCCATTAGAAAGCTGATGAGAGAAAGTGGATTGGACAAATCAGCAATGAAACCACAAGGTACTTTTTTGTTTGGTATTTTAAGTAAAGTTCCTGCTTGATCCTCAGTTTCTACAGATGTATTTGTTTGTCTTAACATATTTGCATGACACTTTATTGCAAACTGCAGTATCCTCATGGTGATGACTTGCATTTTGTTACTCATTTCCTCTGTGTTGGCTTGCCTCACTGACATGAATGCTATTTTCAGTGCACAAGCCCAAGCAAGGGCAGAGTTCAGCTGCTGCTTCACTTACTGATTGTAATTAGTACATATGATTTATAAATTCATATGCTGTTGCATATGAATTTTTGCATTTTTGTGCATTAAAAAGCAAGGACAAGAGCAGGCGATCTTTACAACAGTGGTTATTTCAATTATTATTAAGAAACTGGACTTCTAATTTTAAATTTCCATGTTCTTTTTTTGGTAATTCAAGATATTACCCATGTGTGCCAAGAGAAGCTTGAAGATCTTATTCAGTCATTCAGTGAACCTTCTGAGGCAGAATTGAATGAAGAGGCTCATGAAAAATGTGGGGATGAAGTGCCTTTTGATGATGCTGAGGAACACTATGATGAAGAGGAACATAAGTACTGTCAACATGACTTCTTATTTGGTTCAGTAGGAAACCCAGTAAAAATGGAGGTTGCTGAAATAAGTAATCAAGATACAGCAGAACTAGAGACTGGACTAAGACGGCGTGTTAGAAATGAGTGAAATATGTAGAAAATTATGATGAATTATTGCACATCTGAGAATGCACTTTTAAATTATCTTGAAACTTGTTCACATTTAATGCAGTATGCTTAAAAACCAATATATTTATGAAACTTTTCTATTTATTCTGTATGAAATTATTTCTGTATATATTATGCTGACAGTCCTATGTGGTGTTTCACTACACTGTCAAGATTTATCATATTTTTACGATAATTAAAGTTGAGGAATGGAACCAAAATGTGTTCTAAGCATTTTGTCAGTATTTGTGCAAGTTACTTAGGTGTTTTTTGCATTGTTACTCCTTATGAAATGACTTAATGTGGTTTCAATTTGATCTTATTTCTGCTGGATTCTTGCTTTCATTAGAAAGCAGTAGAGATAGCTCATTAGGGAAGATATTAGTGAAATTTGCATAATTGTGTAGAACTATGATGGTGAAAAACTGGCTAGATGAGAATCTACTGCAGCCTTTCCCATCCTGGTGCTTTTTAGTGGATTGGGCCACAGCTCCCACTATCCTGAGCCAATCATGTCTAATTGTCATTCTGGTTTGGGATGGTGAAGGTTGTAGTCAAGGTACCTGAAAGACATTAGATTATTCCAGTGAAATGAGATATTGAATTTACTAATTTACTTAGTATAAACATTGATAGGTATATCGTTTGACAAATTATTTTCTTTGGACTTCAAGTTTGTGGAAGAAGATGAAGAGAAGATACTTCATTTTCCCTTTGGTTTGACCAAGAGAGGATACAAAAGGAAAATAGGAAGACAAAAATTAATTAGGGCTACAATCTAGTTACATAAATTGTAATAAGTCTCTCAGTTAAACATGTCCATCTTAGAAGCAGTAATCATATTTGCATTTAGATTATATATACACATCACAGTAGGTATCATTCCATGTATGTTTGTTTTGCCATTAAAAATTCCTGCTGATCATAATGGACAGGAGGCTTTAAATAAGAAATTGAAATTATAAGACCACAAATACATTATGAAGGCTCATGGAGCATTGTGCCTGGTTGATTTTTATTTTCAGTCTGCATGAGAACACAGGAGAAAGCAAAACAATAATCTCCTTAAATTAAATTGTAATTTGGGAGAAGTAGTAAATAAACAGTGAACATCAATTAAGGCCACCTGTTGGAGTAACTGCCTGCTATAGGCTATAAATTTCATTTTGAAGTGTAGAGCATAAAAAGTAAGAGATTCTGGTTAGAACCTTTATAAATTTATGCATGAGTCAGTGGGGAATCAATGTTGATAGACATGTAGAGGATTGTGCTGTCAGTATTGCTGAGATGTTCCATAGAATCATAGAAAAGCGAAGTTGGAAGGGGCCTAGGTAAAAAAGGTAAAGGTTCCCCTTGACCTTTTTTTTGTCCAGTCGTGTCCGACTCTAGGGGGCGGCGCTCATCCCGCTCTACAAGCCATAGAGCCAGCGTTTGTCTGAAGACAATCTTTCCGTGGTCACATGGCCAGTGTGATTTAGACACGGAACGCTGTTTACCTTCCCACCGAGATGGTACCTATTTATCTACTCGCATTTGCATGCTTTCGAACCGCTAGGTGGGCGGGAGCTGGGACAGGCGACGGGTGCTCATTCTGTCGCGTGGATTCGATCTTACGACTGCTTGGTCTTCTGACCCTACAGCACAGGCTTCTGCGGTTTAGCCCACAGCGCCACCATGTCCTACAAGGTCATCAAGTCCAACCCCCTGCTCAGTGCCGGAATAGAATCAAAGCATATCTGCCAGGTGATTATCTAAGTTTCTCTTGAATGCCTCCAGTGATGAAGCACTCACTAACCCCCAGGGTAACCTCCACTGTCATGCTGCTCTAACAGGAAGTTTTTCCTGGTATTCAACCAAAATCTGGCTTCCTTTAACTTGAGCCCATTATTGTGTATCCTGCACTCTTGAGATGATTGAGAACAGATCCTGCCCTGCCTCTTTATGACAGCTTTCAAACATCTGAAAGTGCTATCATCACCCCTCAATCTTTGTAAAGCTAAACATGCCCAATTCTTTCAGCCTTTCCTCATAAGGCTTGGTTACCAGCCCCGGGATCATACCCGTTGCCCTCCTCTGAATTTGTTCCAATTTGTTAGTATCCTTGAAGTGTGGTGTCCAGAACTGGACACAATACACAAGGTGAGAAGGCCTAACCAATGCTGAATAGAGGGGAACTAGCACCTCGGTGGATTTGGAAACTATACTATTAATGCAGCCTAAAATAGCATTAATAATAATAATAATAATAACAATAATAATAATAATAATAATAATAATAATAATAATAATAATAATAATATTATTATTATTATTATTATTATTATTATTATTATTATTATTATTATTATTATTAATGGTCATTGTAATTGTGCAATTAGTTTCTTTTTCTGAGGTGCAGTACTTTGCACTTATTCCTGTTGAATTTAATTCTTATGCAACATAAATTGTTAGTTGCATTTGTATCCTGTTTTTCCTCCCATGAGCTCAAGGTGGTGTCCATTCTATATAACCCCCATGTAAGTTAGGTCAGGTTGAGGTATGACTGGCACAAGGCTGCACAAAGATGAAGTGTAATATGAGAAACTTAACTGCCAAGCTATAATTGCTCCTCCCTTGTGCAGCAAATAGGTTCAGATAAAACCACACAACTAGGAGGTGAATTTTGAGGAGCAGGGTGAATTAACCTACTGCACATACTCTGTTTCCCCAAATATAAGACCTAACCTGAAAATAAACAGTAGTATGATTTTTCAGGATGTTTGTAATATAAGCCCAACCCAAAAAACAAGCCCTAGTTAAGTGAAACCCTGCCCTCCGCCGTTGTGCAGCAACCAGAATATGAAATGACTATAAAACATCCCCTGAAAATAAGCCCTAATGTGTTTTTTGGAGCAAAAACTAATATAAGACCCTGTCTTATTTTCAGGGAAACACGTAGTTGGTAAGAAAAGCTGGCAGGTTGTGTGTCACAGATGAAATAGCTGTAGTCTACATCTGACCTGCAGGCTAGCCACTCATGTTTTAAGTATAACAGTAAAATGACAAGATATTCATTGTTTTGTCTGATCTCTTGCCACTTTGTACTGAAGGAAAGTAGCTGTGTGCTGGCTCTTACACAACAAAAGAATATCATAGCCAAAGCTAAACAGTGCAGCTGTATCTGTTACAAGAGTGTTACACTTACAAATGGATATTTGTATTTATCATGCTATTAAGAATCCAGAAAGAGGAATTAAAATGGCAATGGGATTATTTTATTGTTGAAGTGTTTCATGGCCGGGATCTGATGGTTGTAGGTTTTTCGGGCTGTTTGGCCGTGTTCTGAAGTTTTTTCTTCCTAACATTTCGCCAGTCTCTGTGGCCAGAATCTTCAGAGGACTGGAGTTAGAACTCTAACAGACAGATGCCGGCCACAGAGGCTGGTGAAATGTTAGGAAGGAAAACCTTCATAACACAGCCAAACAGCCCGAAAAACCTACAACCACCAATGGGATTATTGTTACTGTTACACCACATTTTGGTGGCTAGATAGCTCAATAAGCTGAAGCCAGAGGTTGGGCATTCGATTCCCCACTGTGCATCCCAGAAGAGCCAGCCTGTGTGGCCTTGGGCAAGCTGCACAGGCACAGGGTGTTCCCAGAAGAAGGGAATGGTAAACCACTTCCAAGTATTATCTTCCTTAAAAATCCTGAAAAGTGTTGTTGTAGGATGGTCAAATTTGATTTGGCAGCACAGAATTATAATTATTCATATTGATGTATGAGTTTCTTTGTATGAACTTGGGGCTCTCTGAGGTTCATCCAGAACTGGGTGAAGTCTTTTGGTGCCTGAGACAGAACAGCAAATGCAAAGAGCTTGGAAATCAATTGCGCCTGCTGCAATATATTGGATGCAGAGCTTAGAACATGGCCTTTTATCTCTTGCATGAAAGGCCGTGGTGAATCATCTCCAACTCTCCAGATGTTTTACACCTCAACTCCCAGAATTTTCACTCAGTGTGGCTTATAGCAATAGCATTGAAAGATCTCAGAAACAAGTTAGAGACTGCCTATTTGGAAAAGAGAAATCCTTAACTAAGGAAGGTGTGTGAACATCACAGCACCAGCATCTGTCACCATGGGGAGTGTACAAATAAGGCTGCTTTGATGATAAATCAGCATGGGATTCTTTTGAAGCTGGATTTCAGGAACGGAGAAAAGCAACACTAACTTGATTTAAATTTGAATTGAGGGCTATCCTTAATGGTTTATATCTGGCACCAAAAAAACCATCCAACTTTTTTTTGAGAGTCAAAAGTCCTCCAGTGTTCCTAACAGAAACAGGAAACCCTAGTCTCTTGGACGCAGGTTTTTCAGAATACTTCAGCCAGAATGGCCAGTGACTGGACTCGCTGGCGTACTTGAGCGGCAAGTCACTTGTCTCGTTTTCTGTCACGTATCGATTTAACGGCCTCTCAGCCCACCTTCTTCTGTGACAGAAAACGCCTGGGAGACTTCAGGCAGGAAGTGACGCTCCTAAATATTTTATTTATGGAACGCCTTTGATTTACATGCGTGTAAGGAAAGTTGTGGGGAAAAGGACTGGCCCATTTTTTGTCTCCTGAAAAAGCCTCTTTTTAAAAGTGATGTCTGCGTAACCCTAGGAGGGCTGCGATCCTGCGCCCGCTTCGTTGGGAGGAAATCCACTAACAGTGGCGGAAGGCCACGAAACCCACCCACCCCCAATCTTCGGAAGGGCGAAGCAAAAACACGGATGGCCGCCCGCCCCACCGGCTGCCAAGGAAGTTGTGGAAAGAGCGCAGGGCGTGCGCGGCAAACGCGCCCTCGGGCGGCGGACGCGCAACCGGAGCCGGGGCCGCGCAAGTGGGTTGGGCGGGAGGAAGTACCGCCGCAGCCGTTGCTTGCAGGAAAGGTGACTGTCGGGAGGGGACGCCCGCGGGGCAGGGGGGGGGGGAGGAGTGTGTGTGTGTGTGGA